GAGCATACACTCTTGGCGCTCCGCCCGGTTTCTTGGATCCGCGCGGGGCTCCCCCCCGGCGGCGCTTCCGGCGCCGGCCCGGGCCCGCTCCGCGCGCCAGGGAGGGGTGGGCCCGGCGCAGATCCCAGAAGTCCGTGCGGAGCGCCAGAACCCTATGTCCCTGGCGTTTTCCTTCTTCTCGCTCCCACGGCTCGACTGGACCCACTGGTTCGCGCCGTTCGGCGGCCAGGACGGCAGCCCGCTGGGCTGGCCGGGCCGGCTGCTGCGCGGCATCGCGTCGGGCGAGCGCGCCGTCGAGGACCTCCTGGACGGGCCCGCGCTCCGGGAGCTCTTCCCCGCGGGCCCCCCCGAGTTCGTGAGGATGCAGGAGGGGAAGCAACACACAGGCACCACGAACCGTCGACTCCCAGGAAAGCCCGAGGGGAACATGGGGGAAAAGTGTGGAGGGGGGGGGGGGCGGGAGAGACGAAAGCCCCGAAGATGCTGGAAAACGTGTGGGGAATCCGGGGGGTTGTGCCTACCCATTTGTGTGTGTGTGTGCCCCTGGGCCCCCTGGTGAGGATGTCGCCCATGACCTACGCGGCTCGCCTCCCGGAGGCCGACGGCACCGGCGCCTGGTGGTCGCGCGCGCCCGCCGACGTGGCCGTGGACTCGGCCTGGGAGGGCCTCTCGCCTCGGGAGCCCGCAGCCCGCTCGCTGGTGCCCGAGCAGGGGAGCGACTGCAGAACTGAGTTGCCTGAAGTCGGGCCTGTCCCTCCACAGGAGGAGTGTTCCAAAATAGTCCAGGGACGGTATGGGGAAGATTCGTTTGGCATTTTCTTGACTCTGTTTGAGCATTTTTGGGGGGTATATTTTTCATCCAAAATCCACCTGTAGGGGGACATGCCCGACCTAAGATTTACCCCAAACTTGATGTTCCCAGAGATCCAACGTACTCAGAAAGTCGAGGCGGAGGTTTTTCATTGTTTTCGGCCTCCGGGGGACCCTCGCCGAGCCCCGGGACTGAGGACGCAAAATTGGTCATGGGGAATGGGTCGAGACTTCGGGGGACCCCGCATTGAAGAAATCACGACATCGCATCTCTGGGTACCCCAAAATTGATGTTCTCGTCGAATCTACGAAAAATACCTACAAGGTTCGTAGATCTACGAACGCTTTACTCCAGGCCTCCCAGATGGGGTCGGAGTAGATGGGGTCGGAGGATCGCGCCGCATCACCGATGCATCGCCGATGCGGCTCGATGCGGAGCCCGATTTGCTTCACGACGACGTCGGCGACGCACCGCCGACGCCGGCGATGCGTCGCCAGTGCATAGCCGATGCATCGCCGATGCATCGGCGATGCGGCGCGATCCTCCGACCCCATCTACTCCGACCCCATCTAGGAGGCCTCTCTACATGCGTGCCCTCTGCAGACTCGACGTGCACACCACCCTCGGGAGCAAGACACAGCCACTCTGCAGTCCACCTCCCCCTCCCCTCGAGGTGTTCCACCGCGACGAGCTCCTGCGCCTCGCGCCGCCCGCGGGCGCCGCCCCGTGGCCCGGCCTCCCCGGCCTCCGCGCGGCGGCCGACGGCGGCGGCGATCAGGAGGGAAAGAAACACGCAGACACAATTAATCGTCGACTCCCAGGAAAATATGGGAAAATTTAGGAAGTGGGGGGGAAGACAGAAACCCAGAAACTATGGGAAAACATAGGGAATATTTTTCTTTGTGTGTATCTATTTGTGTGTCCTGGGGCCCCTTCAGGCGAGGCCTTCGTCTGGGCCCTGCTCGCCGCCGCGGAGGCCGCGCGCCAGGCCGCGGAGGCCCCGCCGCCGCCCGGGCGGGGCCGCGCGGCCCGAGGCCGCCGCTCGCCGCCGAGCGCCCCGCCGCCGCCACGCGCCGCCGCGGCCGCCGCCGGGGGCGCCGGCGCGCGGCGCGGCGCGCGGCCGCCGGCGGCCGGAGGCCCGCGCGGGGCGCGCCGGCGCGGGGCGCCGCGGGCTGGCTCCGCGTGGGGCGGGAGGCGTCGGCCCCTCCTCCTCCTCCCCTCCTCCTCCTCCTCCCCCTCCCCATCCTCCCTCCTCTCCTCCTCGCCCTCCTCCTCCTCCTCCTCATCCACCTCCTCATCCTTCCTCCTCTCCTCCTCCTCCTCCTCCTCCTCCTCCTCCTCCTCCTCCTCCTCCTCCTCCTCCTCCTCGGCTCGAAGAGTGAAGCAGTGGCGGAGCGTCCTGGCTCGCTTATAATAGCCCTATTCGGGCAAGGTTCTGCGAACCTTTTTGCGGTTGCCACAGAGTGTTCTTATAGAGCGTGTCTGGCGGAGCCTGTCTTGTCTGAACACATCGGGTCGATGTTCTAAGAACACTGTTTTTTGTTATTAGAACATTTTGGGGTTCTACGAACATTTCGTGGTAGGACTATAGGAATGCCAGGACGGTCGGTCCCTGCTCAAAAGAGGGGGGGGTGCTAAGGTGCCCCTGGCCCAAGGGTTGCAGGAGTACTTACATGCTTGAGGACGCAG